CCAACGTTGATAACTAGTGCAAATCGATAACTGGTGCAAACTCTGAAGTTCGACCTTAGTTGAAATGTCGATACCGTACTTAACAAAGTATACACTTTGGTTCGCGCCAAGAAAGTGATGAAATTAACGTTAAGAGTGGTCCATTTTGCCCCATGAAAGTGATCTTTACGAAAGGAAATGCAGTGATTATTTTCAAAATGACTGACCAATAGAACGCAAGCTAGTCTACTCTGATAGGTTGACGGCAGACTGGATCTCGAGCCGTGAGGCGTTGATGCAGTTCTCCTGCAAACCCTCGAGTCCGTCGAGAAGCTCCTCAGCGGTCTTGCACCGTGGATCCTGGCCGTACTTTCTGAACGCTGCGGCGATGCCTTGTTGGCTGCTTGGACAGAGTCGATCTTGCGTGTTGCCGTCTCGATCCATTCGAGGACGCTTTCGCGTGAGCTCGATGTCTCTGTTCCCAAGGCTTGGATGCAAGTAAAAGAAGATGGTGCACGCCTTGTCAGACCACGGATACGTATGACGTCGCTCGGCCGTGCGCCGAGGAGCCACCACAGAAGAAACGTCTTCGCCCACCCACGGCGGATTAATGGCGCGAAGCTGCTTCATGGCATCACGCATGCGTTGACGGTGTCGTGCCACGTGGACGATGTCATGCTCTGACTATATCGCGGCGGTCTCGATCGTGTGCGGCGTGAGTTCGGGAAACAAAGAGGCGCGCATGATTTTCAGCCCGTCCCTGGGGTCGCGAGTTTCTCGCTGGCGCGCTTCTTGAGCACGCATCCACTCCGCGTTCTCTGGTTATTGCAAAATGAACTTCTTCATCGAGCAAATCGAGGAATGGGCGACGCCAGCGTCGAGTGTGCTGTCTATTTTGAGAGTGTTTTTTCTGAAAATTGACGCGGAGCAGCAGTGATATTTTTGTTAAGGAAAAGCCACTTTTTCGTTAAGAAGTGACGCCTTTGGGATCCGAAGTGATTATTTTGACTGTGTTTATATTTTGTTAAGTACGGTACATTTCAATCTAGGTCGAACTTCAGAGTTTGCACCACGCGGCTATCAGGATGATGCTCATGGGTCACCGTATCAAGCATAGCATGGCTCCGACGGAGCCCCGTACGTCGAGTCCTTCTAGCTTCGGCGCA